TTTTGAAATGCAATCGAATAATAAAATGCAAAAAGGAAATGTTTGGTGATATAATCTACGGAATATAGTATAAATTAAGCAAAAATTGCTCTCAAAATTGAACAAATTCAAATTTTAATTCTTGTGGTTAATTTTATTAATTTCATGTTTTTGCTGTTGTGCACATACAATATACAGAGAGAGCGAGAAAGAGGGAGGTAATGATTTAGTTCCTTTTTGATTGTTCGTTTTTTTTTAAATTTTGCTGCACTAATTACTATAAATATATATAAGAGTTCAGCATATGTATTTACTGAACAACAGATGCTATTACTACTATCATTTACTCTTATTGTTATTACTTCTACAATAACTACTACTACAAGTATTACTCAACAGTAACAGCAATAATTACTGTTGCTAACATGAAAATTTCTTTGATTATTATTACCATTAGTGCTGAAAAATATAAAATAACGGGGAAATTGGAAAGTTTAAAATGTTAATTTTCGATTGTAACATTAATTTTTGGCTGAAAATACTACCTTTTTGGTGATAAATATCAATTTTTTCATTTCATTTAAAATATCAATCTTTGGTAAAATTTTTCATGATAGTTTTTTTGCAAATTTAATACACTTTCAAATTTTCAATTCATTTTTTTACTTATCACATTATTAGCAAAGAATGAATTGAAAATTGCTCTAAAAATGTATTAATTTACAAATGTAATTAACTTTAAATCCGACTAATAACCTAATGTATGTTATAGAAGCAGTAATTACTGGCAAAGTAAGTTTTAATTACTTGTTAAGTTGAACTTTTATGTATCAGAAAGGATTAGCAAAAAAAAGGTTTTTTGCTAATTTTTAATTTCTAACATATTTATCTATCTTTTCGTTAATGATGCACATATTCATCAAAATTTTCGCCTTACCACCCGCTATTCGACAAATCCTTTAATCTTTCCGTAAAGGATAAGGAAAATTATCGACATGCAAAGTCAATTCCAATTAATAAATATACCATTTTTCATATGAAACATCTTTCCAGCAGTGAAAATTATCTCATGCCAAGGACATAGCACTTTTGAACGCTTTTTGCCTCCCAATTATCATCACTATCATTAATTATTATCATTACCATTAATTACCAATGGATGAAGCTACTATTACTGCTAGAAACTTGCCAAGCAAATGCTTTTGCTAAATGATTTTAATTCTCATAATTTTTTCAAATTATGAGATAATCATCAATAAATTACAACGATTTCTCCAAATTTATTCCAGCCTTTTTCATTCTCATATGAATCATTTTTTTTCCGTACCATTTTTGTTTAGTTTATATTAAATTACTCAATCAGCGAGAAACGGCATGAATCATTTTTTCCATATCATTTTCGTTTATAAATCAGTGAAATAATTGAAGTTATAATCTATCAACCATTTAATGTGTCAGCTGATTTATTCATTTGCAATTTTCCCATTTTAAATAATATAATTTGAATTAAACTGCTTTATTTTTAGCAATTATACAGAAATTTTAATCTGTTTTCAAAATTTTCCATTCTTTTATTTTTTACGCAATTTCAGTCATAACCTGAAACACATTTTTTTCCTTTATCTTACAGTTCATTACTAATTTTATCATTTTCTTGTCATAAGGATGCTGTTGAACATTTACTGCAATAATTTACTAAACAAATAATTACAATTGTTCATTGAAAAAAATTTTTTGCTTACATAAATAATATTTCTCAATTATAATTTGTTCTTATTATCAGTTATAATTTAACCTTAATTTTGTAAATTACTATCTCAACTCATTAGCATCCTTTACATTTTGAACTAAGTTATTGATCAATTATGCATTCATATTTGCTTTATCAATTCGTTTCAAACTTTTTTAGTTAAATATTTATTCCATTGATTATTGTTTATATGTAACGTAGTCAATCATTTCTGTTAACAAATCCCAAAGTGCCTTTTGAATTTTAACTTTTAATAGCAAATAATATTTTATACTGTTTTACAAACAGTTCTGATTTGATCATTTCATTCTAATTTAAACAAATTATAATAGCTGGACAGATCCAGAAAATGATGTGATTTTTTTTGTAGGCATATTATTTACTAACATGAATATTGTTCTTCCAACGAACAAAAAAAGAAAAGTAACGTGAATAATTAATGATTTATTAGTGGTAAATGATTAAATAAATATTTGCGTAAAATTTTATGAAAAGGAAAATTTTTTTATTCATTAATTTGCGTGTCATTATTTTTTTATTCATTAATTTGCATAGAAAAGAGAAAAAATTCATAAAAAATTTAAAAATAAAAAAATCAAGAAAAAAATATCAAATGTTTTTATAAAATTGAGCAAAAGAAAATGAAATAATTGATTTACTTTCAAATTTGATTAACAGAATGAGATTTTGCTATGAAATTGCCAAAAAATTATTTTACACTTTACCATTGCAACCAATCTTATAAATATTTTATATCCCAAAGTTGGTATTTTAGTATATATCTCGGGATTGTTATTCCGTTACGAAAAAAAAATTGGAAGCAAATTATGATATTTGGAATTGATGGATATAACGATGAGAAAAATTAATTGCTTATTCTTTTGAAGATTCGTGTAGTTTCTCGTCAATTATAAAATTTAAAAATTTTATACTGTCAAATTATTTTTAAAAGCAAAATTAAAAAATCAAAATTCGACCTTTTTTATCCAAAATTTCTTCAACTGTTAAGCACTAACCCTAAATGCAAATACTGTTAAAATTACAGCTAGAAAAAATGGAATTTTTAAATTTCTCTGTTTTTTTACCTAAAAATTATCATTAACTTTTAATAATTTTTAAATAAAAATGCATTTCTGTTAAGAAAATTTTTTGTTCTTCTTTCCTCTTAAAAATTCCACAATTTTGCTTTCTTTCAAAAGAGAAAAAAACAAATAAATGAATTTGATTTTTGCATAAAAAATTGTTAATTTTAGCAAACAAATTTTACTCTTGTTTTATTACAAATTTCTTTTTAACGAATTATTTGTATCAATCATATATATGGTTTAGCTAACCTATATGTCCATTTATGTGCATAAACACACACACACACACATACACACATATATATGTTTGTTATGCAAATGTTATTTATTCGTGTAATCAATGTATAAAGAAAGATCAAAAGAATTATCCGCTTAATAATTTAGTTCTAATAAAGGTGATAGTGGGAGGAGGAGGAGGAGGAGGAAGAAGAGGAGAAATAGTATTAAGTTTCTTCCTTAGTTCCTTTTGGTCAGTCAAGCTTTTTGACCACGCCTGTAGCATACAATTGAAATGGGATGAAACAAGAGAAACAGAGAGAGAGAGGGAGAGAGAGGGAGAGAGAGGGAGAGAGAGAGGGAATAAGAGAAAAGGAACTACTAAATCAAACATAGCATTTAAATAAAATTGACACTCTATAACCACTGAAAATCCTAGCAACCAACCATTTTGGCTTCTTTATCCGCCATTCTTTATCTTTTATTAATTATGACATGAATATTTAATCAAAAAAAAAAACAGAAAATTAAGCCAAATTCTTTTTTCATGTAACTAATTAAGTTCAATTAATTAGTATGCTTACCAATAATAAACTTAATGTTTAATTAACTTTTTTGATTTCTTTTTCATATATTTCATCAATGATTGTTATTAATTCAATAACTTAAAGTTTTTTTCATTTTTTTTGGTTTCATTCAAAACGAATTATGAATAAACTTTTTTTTCAAATCTTCTAATTAAAGGAAAAAAGGAAAATATAATTTTAAAAAGGCAAGAAATGAAAAGGAAAAGTCTTGAAATTTGTTTACAGCAAAGGAAAAGAAAGAAGTGAAGAAGAAATGGAGGATGGACAAAGGATGGAATGAAAGAGGAAAGGAACGGATGGAAATTTAAATTTTGTTGGAAAAAATCGAATTTTTATTTTTATAAACAAAAAGCTAGTTGGAATAGCTAATGCTTATAATTTTCCTGTTACAATTTTGATATGACAATTTGCTTTTTGTTGTTCTTTTTTTGGTAACATATTTTTTGTTTAAAAATAATAATGATGACAATAACAATATTAATGATAATCATTGTGTATACTTGTAAGATGATATGATTAGGAATGAAGAATTTAAGGACTGTGATAATGCAATTATGATAATTGCAATTTTCTCTAGGATTTGGCTTAATCCTATTAAAAAATCATTTAGCGATTTTTCCAGAAATAATTGCGGTAATAATTATTCGGGATGAATCGATCTTCTTCCACTAATCGTTATCCATCTGTTCAGTCGATTGTAATTATTGCTATTATTGTTTTCTGTATTGTAGCCAATTTTTGGCCAACAATTAAGGCTACTGATACTACTAATGCTACTGGTTTTAATGATACAAAAGATAACAAAACTCATGAAATTGAGCATATTCCAGAGGTTAAAGGTTACCAGAATAAGGATGGTCGATCGCTTCGTAATGTAGATAATATTCAAATTCCAAATTCACGATGTCCAAATTTTTGCGAATGTGAACATGCTATTTGGAATAATGGCACTACTGGTAGTACCACGGAAATTTCCGTATATTGCCATGAAGGTGGCCTGGAACAGACAGCATTCTCTAAACTTCTCAAACAAATTCCCAGAGAAGTAACAGTTTTGGATGTTGAAGCACCATCAGATCATCCAAATCATCTTCTCTGGGATGATAATTTAAATCAATTGCGACATTTACGCGTTCTACGACTTGTCAATTGCGCCATTCCAGCAATTAGTCGTGCTCTGAAATTACGCACGTTAGAAGTACTTGATCTTCGTGGAAATCGAATTCAGCACTTGCCAGTTTCCATATTTTCTGGTGTACCATCTATAAAAGAGCTTAATTTAGCCAAAAATTCATTGAGCGTCCTGCCAACAGGCGCTTTTACATATCTTAAAAATTTACAAATTCTATCACTTGCACATAATAATATTACCGAAGTTACGGTAAATTTATTGCGTGATTTGAAAAAGTTGAAATCACTTCATTTGGATGGTAATCGAATACCTGTATTGCAATTTAATTTACTTTTTGCGGATATTCCACAACTGGAACGATTAGAGCTAAATGAATGTGGCTTAAGTATAGGAGCCGTAAACAATTTAGCATTGGATAAATTTCATTCCCTAAAACAACTTAGCCTTGCAGGTAATATGCTTGGAAAGGTACCCATAAGTGCATTACGTAATCATCTAAGCTCATTGACCACTCTTGACCTCAGCAATAATGAACTTGTTGAAATAGAATCGGAGATATTTGCTAAATCAAATATCAGTCGATTATTACTTGCCGGTAATCATCTTGGTATCAATCCCACTGCTTTATCATTCAATTCGCTAAAAACGGGAATGGCATTGCGTGAATTGGATTTGTCACGTAATAGTTTTGAAAATTTCCACTCGGAATATCTTGGAATAGCCCGAGAAACTGTGGAAATTTTGCATCTTAACGAGAATCATATTAGTACTATCGAAGAACGGCTAACAGCTAATATGACGAAACTTAAAATACTTCATTTGGGATATAATTTTATTGAATATTTACCGAAAAAATTACCCAATGAATTTGCTCAGCTAATATTTCTCAATCTATCGGGGAATCAACTTTCCTCATTACTGGAACATTTGCGAGAAATTTTACCTATGCTTCGAATGATAGATATTTCGGAAAATCGATTTACATCATTCCCAGTTACGGTGGTTCAGAATTTTTTCAACAGTTTAGAAAAAGTTAGTTTTTTGAACTTATTTCTGTTAACAGAACTATTTTTGAATTTTTTAGCGCGTATCTTATTAATGACCTATGTATTTTTTTACTCATTTCATGATAAAATATTCAAATGAGATATTACAAATGAATCTTTTTTCAACTTTTTTATTAAATTAAAAATTTATTTTATGACCAATTAAACTCGAATAATTCGAAATTTTTGTTTATAAGTTGTCATGATTAATACATTTGTTTATCTGTCATGTCGATATGTTTACTATTTCGGTACGGCTATCTAAATCTGTCAATGATGTACAGATGAATGCCTGCTGGACGAAGGTCAATTATAGATAATCCTGTAAGCTGTTGATCAGTAGGCCCGTTTCAGTTGAAGGTCATTTTTTCGGAAGAAAATATAAATCTTGAAATTGGACATTTTGTCTGAATTACTATTTATTTAGTTTGTTGTAAAATCAAACATATCATTTACCAAAAAGGTGTAATATTTTAAGATTAAAAATTCAAATTCAAATTTTGAGGTTTAAATTTAAAGTCACACAATTATCTTCCTGCTTTATGAAATTTTGAAATTATGTTGAAATTAAGTGCTACTTTAATGACCTTCACATAATAATAATAATTTTCGATCAAAAAAAAAGATGTCAAATTCAATGAGTTAGTTGAAAAATTTTGCTGATTTTCAAGGATATTTAAATTCAATTTTGATTTTTTTTTAAACAATTTCTTATTATTCATTCATTCGTACCAATTTTTTATTGATAATATTATATGTTTTAGAAGGAACGTAATCATCATAATTATCTCTATCGAATATCAATCACTATAATTATCTTAGCGAAAAATAATTTCATCATTGGAAAAATTTATTGCAAAGATTTTTTTTGTTCTTCTTATAGCTGAAAAAGTTCTTTGTATTTTCAAATTTCACTTCTTAATTCTGTTCGCATTCCAATTTAGTTATTTATATGTTTGTTTAATTTATTTGCTTAAGTTGAACATTAGTAAAGTATTTCAAATTATTAAATGCTATACAAATGTAAGTATTAAAAAACATAACATAATGGATTATTTTAACCAATTTAATATAAATGGTTCATTTAAATACAAATAAAATACTTCATATAATTAAATTTCACTAATTTGCATATTAATAAATTTTTTTATAATGATTAAGTGCTATTAGTATTTTGCATGGTGAAATTATTTATATTACTATTATTGTAAAAATATATACATTGAATATGTATGCAAATATAATTGAATCATTGTGTAACTTTGCATCAAAAAGTTAGCAATTGAAATTTAAAACTTTACTTTACAACTAAAAAAAGTAACAAACTGCTTTGGAAAAAAGCCAAAATCAATTTGGAAGAAAAAAACAAAAATAATAAATGAATGACTATTAAATGGTGGATGGCAATGAATAGTGAAAACAAATAGTGATCTCGTTAATCTTGCAAATTGATTGATTTCCAAGGTTTGTAAAAAATTTTGAAGCTTTTTTAGGAACAGCTGATCTATCTGAAATAATTTGTTAATAATTAATTAGTTGCTGAATTCAGTAAAGTTTTCTAAATATTAAAGCATAATTAAATGTATTTTTTCTGTTTTATACTTTAAAAAATAAAATAAAATAGATTGTAATAATCGTCCTTATTCCTTTATCTTTTTAAATTTATAATCAAATCTGTTCCTAATATCTCTTCTTTTTTTGTTCTGATTTTAATTTATCAAAGTTTATTTTTCAATATATTTCCTGTATTTGTAAGAAGCATTAGCAAAGGATGAGAGAGACATTCGGTTAGCTTTACAAATTTTCATCTTTCAATTGGCCCATTAATGAATGCCATTTGTCATCTGTTTCGATTTTGTTCTTTGCATGTCATTTACCGCCAAACGTATATACTATTCATACTTAACAGCTCTTCAAATTCAGTAATAAAAAGCTTTTTGGATAATTTTTAACCGAAATGAAAAGCTTAGGCTCCAATTACTTTTTCTTTTATTTCTTTGAACGATCAATTTTTTCTTCATATGTGAAAAGTCTTTCTTTCGGGTAATAATTTTGGCCTAAATAAATAAAACGACTATTAAAAAGATTCTTTAAATCACGAATTTTAAATAAAATGGTAAATTGAATTTAAATAGAAATTTGTTTACATTTCGGTTTTTTCTCCTTTTTTGCAATAATTTTGCAAGAAAAGGAAATGAGAAATGATGAAAGGAATTGCTAGAAAGAGGAAAAAATAAAATTAGTAATATTCTAATTTAAATTTATTTTATTTCAGTGTTCATACCATTAACACAATTGTTAGATTAATATAGTTAATTTAATTACTATGAATGAATTAATATTAACATAATTAAATGCTCTGATGTATTCTTCTTCCCTTTGCTTTGAATTGGTTGTTTTTAATTTTAGAAATGAATTGAGAAAATATCGTTCCGTTTTTCTTTGTCTTTCATTTTCACCATACTTTTTTATCTCTTTTGATAACAAAAAAAAATCTTGGATGGACAAATTTTAATTAAGCGTCAAAAATTTGAATTTAGATTTTTGCAAATTTCATCTTGAATTTCGATTTATAAATTTTCTTTTCTCAATGGAAGATTTCAATTTAAACTTTTTAATTTACATTTTACCAAATTTCCATTGCAAAATCCATAACAGTTTGTTAAAAATATTTTTTTTTTAAAACTTGGATATTTTAATCTCATCAATTTTTGCAACTTTGACAAGTTAACAATCAATCTGAACGTTATACTTCCGTTTAGATATGTGCCGGATTTTCTTCAACTTTCTCAATTCCGGTTTCCACTTCTCAAATTTTATCTTTTATCTCATTTTCGCTTTTCTGCACGCTTTCCCAATCAAAATCCTATTCATTTATTTCATTTCTCTGCATTTTATTCTTTCTTTTTCCCTCTTCTTCCCCCTCCCTCTCTCTCTCACTCTCATTAATCATTACCAATCATTCATTCATTCATTCATTCATGAAGTTACCAATTATTAATGATTGAAGATGAAATGAAAAAAACCATCATGAACAGACGATGAAGAGTCACTGGGAGACCACCGAGGCACGGGGGGAGTGATTTTGAATTACAATCATACAATTATTGATCAGATTCAGCGAGCCGGAAGGAAATATTAGAAAAGTATATGTTTCCGATAGTTTCCTTAAGAACAGCCGGATAGAATATAGTTTTAATATGGATGATGTTATAAGAAATTTCTCGATACACACACATGCAAATATAGGAGAAACCGAAGAGTACTAATTAAATTACAATTATACAATTTGTTGGTCCGATTCAATCAAACGGAAGAATTATTGTAAAATGGAATATATATTTCTGGTTTGTTATCCACAACGATGCAATTAAAGAATTGAATAATGAAAATTCATTGATGGTATATTTCTAAAAATGAAATTAATTGGATTAGAAACATAACATTTGTTGATCAAACTAAGTGAACTGAAAAAAATTTAAGAAAATAAATATATTCCGAATAGCTAAATTCGGAATATATTCTCAGTAATAAAAATAAATTTTACTAATTGTAAAATAATAATCAAATAAAAAGCATTTTTCTTTTTTTTGAAACAAAATTTAGCAACAAAAAAAAGAAAAACACAAAGAAATATGTTTGTAGGGGTAAAATTTTTAGAGAAATAAAGTTAGAATAAAAGTAAAGAAGAAAAAAAATGAATGAAATTTTGTGCTGAAAAAATGATGCAAAGAATGATATCGAAAAACGGGAAAAAATATGTGACAGATGTTTCACTTTTACGATATAGTAAACGAGCCTCGTGGGGATCATCAAGTAGGTGAATGATCAAGCAGAGATGAAAAGAGAGGAGAAAGGAGAAAAGCCAAATTTAAATTCCTCATTTTTCTCAAAATTTTCTTCCTCTCTTCATTTCGAATACTTTTGCAAATTTAACGATGAAAAAAAGAGAAAAAACAAAAAAAAATTGAGGGATTGAATGATGAATTTAACGTTATTAAAAAAAATCTAAAAGGCTTCATATTTGAAATTCAAATTTGTCCAATTTCTAAATTTTTGTTACTTTTTATTCTTTTTTTTTAAACTTTCACTCTTCTTTCAAAAGTTAATTTCCTTTTTTTCTTTTGACTTTTTTTTTGTTGGTTATGTTTTACATAGCAAATGTGCTTTGCTATTTTTTATTCACTTTTTTTAAAATTCCATCTATTTGTATTCTCTACTCATAAACAATCTATAAATATTTAAGATTATTTGCATTTAATTTCTGTGCACACAATATTTTAAAGTTATTAACATGACAGTTGTTAGCATCAAATTAAGAGGATGAAATAGATAACGCTTTTAATGATAACGATTATTATAATTGATTTGCTCGTGTATTTTGGTCTCATCAATCACATTTAATTATTATTCATCAAATTCACACTTTAATTCGTTGAAAAATTTGTTGAATTTCGCTAAAATCGCAAACTTGACAAAATTTTTAGAAATTGAATATGATGAAAGCGAATATATTATCATTATGGAATCATAAAATACAATATGTTCTCAAGTAATAAATATCAGAAGGAAAAGAATAGTGTAATTAAGCATTTTTTTATTTCATATTTTTTCTATTAAAAATGATTAAGCTATTAGGCATATTTAATGAACATTAAATTTGGTTTATAAAAATACACAATTTGATTTGTAAAAAAAATT